GGGGGCGGGGAGGCGGACGACAGCTTCCGCCCCTGCGCCCTCCGCGCGCCCCAGACGCGGAGTCGCTCGGCGCGGGCGTGGGCGTGGGCGGCCGCGGCATGTCCCGCTCGGTGTCCGACTCCACGCTGCGGCAGGCGGCGTCGCGCGCGGCGCTGCACCTCCCCCTCCCTGTCACCTCCCTCATGCACTTCAAGGTACACGCGCTCACCCGGGCCCGCACGCGCACTCGCCGACTGGATACGACATGCACACACATGGCAGGCGTACACAGAAACATATACATCCATATGCGCTCACGTCCAGCATAACACTTAGAAATAACACACACACACACACACACACACACACACACACACACACACACACACACACACACACACACACACACACACACACACACACACACACACACACACACACACACACACACCATTCTGTAGAAAGCCAACGCATACACAGTACACCTCCCCACTGAATTGTGCACATTAAACACACACCCTCTTTTCAGGCTTTTTACAATATTTGCACCATTTTCCCGTTCCATTTTATGCCTTTGTTTGTTTGTTGATTGTTCTTGCTGCTCTGATGATTGTCTTTAGACCTGGCCCACTTTTTTCCTCATTGTATTTCCAGGGCCACCGAATATGTGGCGCACAAGTTCTTAACACGTTATACTATCTTAAAGGGTTTTTGGTGCATGCATGGCGCGCAACACTTGCATTTATTTATTTATTTATTTCATCGCAAGTGCGGGAACAACATGAACACAGGTAAATACAATAGAAAATAGGGAAATAACCATTATGGATTGTTTTTATGGTTTCTTTGAACATATAAGTGCGGTTCTGCGGTTTGAAAACAGGTGAGAGTGAAAACGATAATTCAGTCATTTACATTACTATTTTTACAAGACATTCTTTCCGTCTATGGTACAACAGTTGGAGGGAGAGTTAAATGATTGTTATTCAGAAAAAGAAAGTTGGTTTGTGTATATTCATAGTGTAATGTTATGGTCATGTTTATGAACCTTTACACATACTTAAAAATGAAAGGAAGAAGGGTCTCTGGATGTAAAGGAAATATTGACGCGCCACATAGGGAACATAGCAATATAGCTGATTATTTCCACTTATCAGTCTTAGATTTGTAAATTATTCATCCATATTTCTCGGTAGGTTGGGAAAGATTAAATATGGTAAAACTAAGATGGATAAGGAGAAGAAAAGAGAAAAGAAGAATAGAAATGCCAAGGAAATTGTACCCATGTTGTGAAAGGTTCTAAACGTGTCATGGCGGACTTCCTACTTTCGTGTTTTTTTCCGGTTATATTTCTCATTCTCTTTCTTTCTCGCTCTCTTTCGTTTTCCGTTTTTTCTGTTGGCTTTAATTGTAATAGGTTGATATTTATGATGAATGGGGTTTTCCAGTTGCTTATATTGTTTTATTTTCGAATTTTTGTTTTCATTATTTATTGTCATTATCATATCATTATCATCATCATCATCATCATCATCATCAGTATCATCATCATCATTATTTTGAAAAGTCCTATACATAATACATTTTGCGTACATTTGTTTATTATTAAAAAAAGGTAACAAGAACTCCCTAAGGACCTTTTATGAGTATCCTCAAATCTGTTTTGGAACTTTCTAATCGTATAGCTCTGTTATGCTATATTCTAGACAGAGTGAAAGGCAGAGAGGGAGAAAAAATAGGAGGGGAAGAAAGAGGCAGATAATGATAAGAAGAGATAAGAGAGGAAGGCAGGAAGTTGCATCATTTCGTGTGCTGCATCTCCCTTTGGGAACAATTTGCCGGTTCATGTTGTTGTTCCCGCCTCTCTGCTGAGTCTGATAGCCTCTGCCATCATTATTATCTCAGTTTTCCCTTAATGTTAGACTGTTTTCTTTTTCTTTTCTTTGCTCCCACCTCCCCCCCCCCCCCTCTCTCTCTCTCTCTCTCTCTCTCTCTCTCTCTCTCTCTCTCTCTCTCTCTCTCTCTCTCTCTCTCTCTCTCTCTCTCTCTCTCTCTCTCTCTCTTTCTCTCTTTCTCTCTTTCTCTCTCTCTCTCTCTCTCTCTCTCTCTCTCTCTCTCTCTCTCTCTCTCTCTCTCTCTCTCTCTCTCTCTCTCTCTCTCTCTCTCTCTCTCTCTCTCTCTCTCTCTCTCTCTCTTTTCTTTCTTTCTTCTCTTCTTCCTCTCTCCTCTCTTCCTCTCTTCCTCTCTCTCCTCCTCTCCTCTCTCCCTCCCTCCCTCCTCCCTTCCTTCCTCCCTTCCTCCCTCCTTCCCCACCCCTCATCATTCAGCATCTTTATCTTTTTGTTATTCTTATTACTTGTCGTCATTAGTATATGATTCAGATAACTATGGAGATTTTTTTTTGTGTGTGTGTGTGTTTTGCCTTGTTTCAAGGACACGTTTCGAGCCAGAGAGAGAAAAGAGTAAAGAAAAGAACCACTGTCAGTCAACACATCAAGTGAAAAGAAGTATGTTGACCGATAACACGTTAATGGGTTTCGAACTGAACAAAACTTCAAGGTGTTGATGCGATCATTAAGGGAAATTTTAACTCCGGAAGACCATTAAATGTTGCATACCCCCATTTTCCCTGTCTCTTCATTTCTTTTCTTTACTTTATTTGTCATCTCTTCTATTTTTTTCGCTTCTCTGTTCTTGCCTTCACTTTCCTTCGCTTTTTTCTCTTCTCTTTGGATTGGTGTTATGTTTATGCCTTCTTATGTTTCTTTTAAGGAGTTATTATGTTCTTATTTGTAGAACATGGGTGGATTACTAATGATAAGTTGTATTTTAATGACTGAAGCGCGCGCACACACACACACACACACACACACACACACACACACACACACACACACACACACTCACACTCACACTCACACTCACTCACTCACTCACTCACTCACTCACTCACTCACTCACTCACTCACTCACTCACTCACTCACTCACTCACTCACTCACACTTCACTCACACACACACACACACACACACCACACACACACACACACACACACACACACACACACACACACACACACCACACACACCACACACACACCATATAGTAAATACATGGCAGCAGAATATGCATATTCACTATACCTATATCTGACATAATGAATGTGTATAAAATTGTTTGATTATAAGCTGATTATTTATAAAAGAAAATTACATAAAACTTGATAAGAAATAAGAGAATGCTCATAATGTTATGCTCTACCTAATACTAAGTCAAACACAATGGAGGTAATCGTTTTATTGCCATTAGGCCACACCTGTTTTATTTGTTGCTTCTCAGATTCGGTTAAATTTTTTAAAAGGAAATTACACAATCCATTGAAGAAATGCTCATAATGTCATTTCTAAAAGCTTGAGTGTTTGAGTTTGAGGGACCTTGAGGTACCTGTATTTCTTGTATGCCAAGGGAATCGCTGAGTGAATTGGCCATTTCAGTTCAAGGTTACACTGAATGGGAAAGTAAATGCAAGAATTCATTCTGGCTATGTCCTGATCTTGAAAAAAAAATGGAAAAGGAAATTGTGTTCTCTCTCTCTCTCCTCTCTCTCTCTCTCCTCTCTCTCTCTCTCTCTCTCTCTCTCTCTCTCTCTCTCTCCTCTCTCTCTCCTCTCTCTCTCTCCTCTCTCTCTCTCTCTCTCCCTCTCCTCTCTCTCTCTCTCTCCCTCTCCCTCTCCCTCTCCCTCTCCCTCTCCCTCTCCTCTCTCTCTCTCTCTCTTCCCTCTCTCTCTCTCTCTCTCTCTCTCTCTCTCTCTCCCTTCTCTCTCCTCTCTTCTCTCTCTCTCTCTCCTCTCTCTCTCTCTCTCTCTCTCTCTCTCGAAATCAATAGATAAAAATAAAAATAAAAGAAACATTAGCCTTAAGGCACCATCGCACTAACACAGTCTTTTACTTCCACCCCCAACAGAAGGAGCTAAGTCTTGTCAGGCGGACGCGGAGGGGGGAATAGAGTGCCTGCCAGAGAAGAGCTTATAGCCACAACTTCCCCAACTCTCCACAACCCCCAACTCTCCACTCCTCCAACTAGTAAGTGAGAGAATTAACTTTACTTTTATATTTGTTATTTGTTGTCATTGTCGTTATCATGGTCATTATGGTCACTATTACTGTTTTTGTTATTATTTGTACAATAATAATAATATGATAATGATGATTTTGAGAATAATGATTATTATTATTATTTTTATTATTGTTGTTATTGTTATGTTTGCTATTATATTTTTAGAACTAACGTCATTATATTTATCACTGATATAGATTTTCTTCTTGATTTTTTTTCTATACAAAATTTTTCAAGATCAAGTGATCTTTAGTTGGAATAAGTGTTTTTTTCTGCTTGTAAAATTTAGTTTTTAATCTGAGATTTTTCATAAAGATTTTTTTTTTTTAGGAACTGCTGTCAGTTATTAATAATTAATCATCTAAATAGAAGAATAGGAATTACATAACTTCACTTAAACTGATTACTTGGAATTGGATTGGAATTTGTCATCCTTTTTTTTTTTGTTTTATATGTCTCGTTTCATTTTTGGATATTTACTTCCTTTGATAATATGGCTGTATGACAGCAGTATTTTCAGTACAAGAGATTATCAGTGACTGTTGGTCATATGGCATTAGGATGTTCTGTCTATATTTTTCTTCACATTGAATATGAAATGAAATGGCAATTAAATCTTTGAGTAAGTCATTTTCAATAATTCTCTTTGTTATATCTAATGTTTCTCCATTCTGTTTCTTCATACTGTTCTTCCTCTAATTCTTTGTCATTTTCTTATCTTTGTAATGATTATCAATTATGTTTCTTGTTCTTTCCCCTCCCCTCTTTTTTTTTCTCCTTTCTTTTCTTGTCTTTCTTTTTTTCTTTCTTTCTTCCTCATCCCTTTTTCTTTTTTGTCAGCCTTCTCCTCTATCTAGTGTATTTAAACTAATGCCCTTGTCCCTTCCACACATCAGGTAGTCCTATGGAATCCCCAAGGAACATGTCTCCTCTACAACACTTTGCCTTTGCTCCTGTCAAGAGTAGAGATGGGCGCAGGTGGTCTGTCGCTTCACTTCCCTCTTCAGGATATGGCACAACTCCTGGATCGTCAAATGTTTCTGTATGTATTTGGACCAACTGTTGTACTGTTCCTTTTTATACAAATTGGTATATACAGAGTATACATATGGAGAGAGAAAACTTGTTTGCTTTTTGAAAGTCTGTCATTTCAGTGTATATAGATGAAATCATTGCACAGCCTGGATTTTGGTTAAATGTAAATGGCAGTGGTAACATGATACTCAATATTAATTTCCTTATATTGAAAGGATTTTTTTCGTAATCAAAGAAGTAAGGAAAGATACACACTGCTAGCACCAAGCTCTCTAACTGAAATCTTACCTTGCAGTCCCAGTGTTCCAGCCAAGAGCGTCTCCACCAGATTGGGGGAGGAGGAGCAGGTGGTGCAGGCAGTGGTGCCATGGGACCTGGGAACCTCTCCAATACAAGCTCTCCAGCCGTGGAGGAAGTCCGACACTCCCATATCCGCCACTTCTCCTCAGGGGAAAGCAACCCCTCAATTGACGATGATGGAAGGCGCTCCCCAATGAACAGACCTCGTTCCCGATCCCTTAGGTAAGGGTTTCTGTGGCGTGTGCTTGCACTGCATTGTGTTTATTGATTCATCTCAGGTTTATTTATCTACCCTTTTTCTCTCGTATTATTTTCATGTTACTCTCATGATCTCTTTACTTGATTCCAATTTGAGAACCTGCATTTTTTATGTTTGGATGATCGTTCCTAGATGAGAAAAAAAAGAGAATTAAGGAAGCAGTTTAGCTGAAAGAACAGTGCTTTTTAACAGTCAATGATTGTTTTAGGCAATACTGTGACTTTGCATTGCAAGTTAATTGATGAATGTAAGAACCGGGAAAAACGATTGTCTAAATATTTCACCTCACATATGTAATGAACTGAGTTTTTAACTTTTGCAAAAAAAGAAAAAAATTGCATCATTAACTGTTTGATATTGTTTCTCAAATTTAAAATTTCATGAATGGTTTTTGCAACCCTAAAAAATGTCAAATGTAACCCACAAAATATTTTGCCATGTGATGCCATCAATTAATTTAAAAATGAAGACCCTAGTAGAAGAAATTAATCATAGTAAATAAGGAAGTAGTTTTTTTTTTAGAATATGTAGACATTAGTACCTGTGAACAATTCAAAATGTCTTATCTGTCTGTTCTCCACAAAACAGAGAAGAGTAGAATTTCCTTTGTGATAGAAATGTGCTGTCAGGTGCTTGACATGTCTTTTTTTTCTTTTTTGCTAATCATGAGACTGCACTACTAACATTGTAAATGATCTAGAATTACAAAAAAAAATCTGAATATCTTTTTGTAACAAATCCCTTTCCCAAAAGTGTTGTATGTATTTATTATAATTATTATTTTTAATGATGAATATACCTTTTCCCCTCCTCAATTCTGCAATTGATATATGTAGAACTTCCATCCAGCCTGCAACCCAAGAATATTTCCAATAAATTTTTTTTCTCTCTCTCTCTCTCTCTCTCTCTCTCTCTCTCTCTCTCTCTCTCTCTCTCTCTCTCTCTCTCTCTCTCTCTCTCTCTCTCTCTCTCTCTCTCTCTCTCTCTCTCTCTCTCTCTCCCTCCCTCCCTCTCCTCTCTCTCTCCCTCTCTCTCCCTCTCTCCCTCTCTCCCTCTCTCTCCCTCTCTCTCCCTCTCTCTTCCCTCTCTCCCCTCTCTCTCCCTCTCTCTCCCTCTCTCTCTCCTCTCTCTCCTCTCTCTCTCTCTCTCTCTCTCTCTCTCTCTCTCTCTCTCTCTCTCTCTCTCTCTCTCTCTCTCTCTCTCTCTCCTCTCTCTCTCTCTCTCTCTCTCTCTCTCTCTCTCTCTCTCTCTCTCTCTCTCTCTCTCTCTCTCTCTCTCTCTCTCTCTCTCTCTCTCTCTCTCTCTCTCTCTCTCTCTTCTTTCTTTCTTACTTTCTTTTTGTCACTTTCCCAAACCAGAATATTGAATATAAACCAAATGTGGGTTACAGTAACAGAAAAGCAGGCAGTGGAAACTGTTTCAAAATCCAATTGAAGTTCATTGTATTCTCTCTCATTTGTTCTATACTGATTCTCTTTTGTGAAAAATTATAGAAAAGTAAAAAAAAAAAAAAAGAAAAAAAACTGCTTAGCTTTGGTTTCCAAATTTGAGTAGATTAAACTGCTTTTCACAGCGATTAATTGTGTATAAAGTCTACTCAAATACAGATTCTGATTTTGATGTCTTTTGTGTAAACTTTTTAGGTTGTTTTTTAATGAGTTTTCTGTGCCACAGCATATGGAAAGCTCCTTTTCCAGATGAGCAAATTATATGCAGATTTAAAGATGCATCAATATGCTTAACAAGCTGATGATATTTGCTGCTTTTAGTAGCACAAGAACACATTTGTTATTATAAGTTTTTGTCAACGAGTAATTTTGTTCTTTGTTTTTTTGTTTTTCTTCACTTTGTGCGGCTCTAGTCTGGCCTGGCTGTGCATCTCCACACTTGAGTAAGATATCAGACTCACATCCTCTCTCTCACCTTAAACCTTAGCCGAATTCTGCTACCCCAACAAAGTGGCTTTGCTCTACATACACTTGTATTTTCTTTTCTGTTTGATTTTTTGAAATACCTTTTTTTTTCACCTTTTTAAAAAATATTTTTTTGACATTAAATGGGAAGCACCAAACTTTGCTTTACTGCTGCTGAATTGGCTGTATCATTGTTTATATATATGTATGCATATAATGATATACACACACGCACACAAGTTGCGATGCCAAAATTTGACACATGTTTTTTGCTGTTGCACATCACTAAAGACATGAGTCTTAGAAGAGGAATGTGTTATGCGTATCTTAAGAGTTATATGTGCTTATAGTTGTTAAAGGATGTAGGTAAACTAGCTATTAGCATGATGTATTTTGTTATTTTTGTAGTGTTATGTGTGTGTTTGTGTGTGTTTATACACAAATACATGTGTGTGTATTTATATAACCATACAGTTTAAAGTTATATTGCGTAACACCTCTTTGAATCTTCAGCTGAATGACTTATAAAACATTTATGGAATTTTCATTATATGTCTTAGTATGGGAATAAGGCCTGAAAGTAGAGGACATGTATATGTATGTGTGCATGTGTTCAGACAAGGTAATAAGAGCAAAAAAAGTGCAATATTGCATTATGTGATCTGGTGTTAAGGAATGATTATAGATTATGTAAATTGTTATTAGATAATGATAATCATCATAAATGGAGTGTCAGGTTTGAAGTGTGTTGAGTGCATGTTCTTTTAGATCTGAGTAAGAAGGGATTTTTTTGAGGTTTGGGGAATAAGTAGGTATGACTTTGACTGGAGACTTGGGTCAAGGAGGAGCAATAAATAGAAAAAAGTATATTTGTATTGTCAAAAAGTTAGATAATCAGGTTTTACACTGGCTCGCCAGGGATTACACTGAGACATGTATATCCGAGTGTAATCATATGTGCGGGCACATATGATTACACTGTGAGTGTGTGTGCTTGTGCCTATATGTGAGTGTGTGTATGTATGTGTGTTTATGGTTGTTTGGGTATGGATGTATACCCTGCAAATATGACCTTAGGGTACTTAAAGATTCTATTTGTTTTTAAGAAGTATGTATAAAAGATATAGTTTATTAGATTGTGCATAACTCATGTATTTACTAATCAAGTAAAGGTTTAAGTAAAATATTATTTAAATAGGTAATTAGGCTTTAAATTTGGTAATTACAATATCTATTATTACCTTTCATCCTTGTTTTCTATTCATAGAATGCTGTGCACAGTGTTTTCCTTTGTTAATTGCATTTCAACACACAACAGTAAATAATGTGGAATTATGTACTTGAAATTTTTATTTCTAATATTTCAAATTTTTGGTAAAAAGTAATTGTGAATATGAGAAAGTCAGTGATTGTTAAGTAAAAACAAGAGAGAAATGTTGATGTACAGTTTATTGCTTTGCATTTGTTTTCAACTCTATATTCCTATTACTAATATCACATTATCTCCATGCAGTAGTCCGATTCGATCGCCAGTGATTGACAACGAGATTATCATGATGAATACACTGTACAAAGAACGCTTTCCTAAGGTAAGGGATATCTTCTTTTATTCTTTGATTTTTCTGCTTTTTGCTTGTAATTTTATTTTCTTCCTCTTTTTGCAATGTTTATGTATATTTTCAAATTAGAGTTATTTTCATAGAATTATTCTACTCATCTTTTTCATAAAGATGTCAAATTATATTGTTCACGTTGAAATTTTTATGTTATAAAAAAAAAATGATGGGTTTTTTGGCTTATGATAATACTAAATATATGTCCCACATATGAAACACCTGGAAAAATAAACACTACCGCGCATCCCGCCAGTGTGATGCTAGATCGGAGCATGCGCTCTGATTTTGTCGGCTGTTGTGGACGGCGCGCGGGCAGGTTCCCAGACTTGAGCGCGAGCCGATTTTGAAACTTCCAAAAAATATCATTTTCGGCTTGAAAATGTACTGTCGCTAGTGGGTTAATGCAAAGAATCAGACATCCAATTTTCCTTACAGGCCACACAACAGATGGAGGAGAGACTGAATACGTTCATTGAGGATAACAAAAACCTGGAGGAGCAAGGAAGCTCAGACATTGCCCAAGATGCTGTTGCAATTGCACGCTTTGTCCACCACCAGGTCCTGGAAATGGCTAAGGACTGTCTAGAGAAGTCACAGCAGAAGCTTATCACAAGCCGATATTTTTATGAGCTCTCAGAGAACCTAGAGAAGCTCTTGTGTGAGGTGGGTAATTGGGGTTTGGGTTGTGACTTTGTTTTCTCTCTCTTCTTTTCTTGGGGACTTGGCTAGAATTAGACACAAAAGACTATAAGCGTTTTGATAAATGCATTTAGTAAATAACTAAGGATACTGTAATATTATAAGATCTTTTAACAGAATTGACAATACTGCATAAATATTTTTATAATCTGCATAGTATACTTTTTATAAGCTGCTTGACCTGTTTTGTAAAGTAAGAAATATTAGTGAAGATGTCAAATACGACATGGCTTCAGGGCTGTTATCTTTGGAGTGTAAGTCATAGCTCATGCTGAAAAGTTTATGTGCAAGGCAAGTTCAGGCTGAGCTTGAAAATGAATATATTTATATATTATAGCACATTGTCTATTCACGCTATGCAAATATCCATGCTTGCTACATTTATTATATGTCCCCTAACTGGAATTTCACCCTTCTTCTCCAACAGACAAGAGACAAGTCTCCAGATGCTGCAGCTCACCTGACCTCCTTGATCAAGAAGCTACTCCTGATTGTGTCAAGGCCAGCCAGACTCTTGGAATGTCTCGAGTTTGACCCTGAGGAGTTCTACCACTTGCTTGAGCAGGCTGAGGGTCAGGCCAGGACCAGCCAGGGCATCAAGACAGACATTCCTCAGTATATTATCACGAAGCTTGGCCTTAACCGAGATCCCTTAGCTGGTAAGTTGAGTTTAGGTCTTGTAGTTGTACTCTCAGTTTTTGTGTAATTTCAGTGTGGTAATATATAGCTAAAGAATGCATTTGTTAATTTTTTTTTATGCAATCTTTGTATTACATTTCATTTTAGTGGCACAAAAGATATGTAATTCTTGATCAAGGTAGAGGATAAAATTTATGAAGATTGTAACACTACTGATTAATTGACTATTGAATTGTATTATTATTGAATTGTATTATTTGTCATTATTGCCTGATTGCTTAGAATTAAATATTTGAAAACTTCCACAGAACTGAGCGATGATTTAGCCGGGGATGGAGATGCCGAGGACAGTGCTGGTAGTGGCACAAGCACCTCGGGAGTGAGTGGGGGAGCCCAGCCTAAGGTCCCCAGCTCAGAGTACTCCCCCGAACAGTCTTCCACGCACTCGACTACTCCGCCTTCCAAAAGCACCCCGAAAGAAGAGGATTATGAGAATATAAAGCTCATCTCAAATGGAGCATATGGAGCAGTGTATTTAGTGCGCCACAAGTTGAGCAAGGAGCGGTTTGCTATGAAGAAAATTAGCAAGCACAATCTCATGCTGAGGAATCAGGTGAGTGGTTTTATAACTTTGTTCTTCTTCTTCTTTCTTTATGCTGTTTTCTTTCCCCTCCCTTCTTTTGTTGTACAATTTGTGTACTTTATCTTTGATTTTGTCATATATTTTAACACATTTTAAAGATTTTGTTACAAGCTGAAATATTCAGGTTGTTAATTTCTTCATTCTTATTATTCTTATTATTTTTTCTAAACAAGATGATGTGCAGTATTTATTATCTGTTATTATTAAGACTAGCATCATACATACATTTCTTCTTTCAGGTGGAACAGGTATTCAATGAACGTGATATTATGAGCTTCACTGACAACCCCTTTGTAGTGTCAATGATCTGTAGTTTTGAAACCAAGCGGCACCTTTGTCTAGTGATGGAGTATGTTGAAGGTGGAGACTGTGCCACTCTGCTGAAAGCTATGGGGCCCTTCCCGCCAGACATGGCACGCTTCTACTTTGCTGAGACAGTTCTGGCTGTTGAATATTTGCATAGGTTTGTTGTTTGTACTTGTCTTTGCCTGTATCAAAATAAGGAGAATGAGAAAGATCACTTGGTTATTACTGAAATAGAGAATAAATCCAAAAATGACATTTTTTGTGTATAATATAAGGGCACCTTTGCAAAAGCGGTAACATAAATTTTTTTGTACATTCTAGCTACGGCATTGTACATAGGGATCTTAAACCTGATAACCTGTTGATCACTGCCTTGGGACACATCAAGCTGACTGACTTCGGTCTGAGCAAAATGGGATTGATGTCACTGGCAACTAATTTGTATGAAGGATATATTGACAAGGAGACTCGTCAGTTCTCTGATAAACAGGTGTTTGGAACGCCTGAATATATTGCACCAGAAGTAATTTTGAGGTAAGTTGAAACAGAATTTATACATTATATAGTTCAAAATCTGTAATTCTACAAATGTCCCAGGTTCATTCATTACATAGATCTGCATCAAGAGGTCTTTGAATATGATTTGACTTTAATAAATTTATTTTATTAATATTATTTTTTTTCATTGTCTGCTTTTTCTTTGTCTGCTTAAAGCAACTCTTGGATGTTTTACAGACAAGGATATGGCAAACCTGTTGACTGGTGGGCCATGGGAGTGATTCTGTATGAGTTCCTCATTGGATGCGTACCCTTCTTTGGTGAAACACCAGAGGAGCTCTTTGCTCACACAGTCAATGATGATATAGAATGGCCGAGTGAGGATGACTGGCCTGTGGCAGAGGATGCTAAGGATCTTATCACAGCCTTGCTTCACCATTCACCACTGGATCGGCTAGGAACAGTGGCAGGTGCCGTGGAAGTCAAGGAACATCCTT